TCTTATTTGCTGTACCATCAGGTTCAGAATTGGGATGTTATTTCAATTAAAAATTAGACTATTGTTACATAATCAGTGTTTGTAATTTTAAAACATAACTTGGATTTTCCCGGAAGGAAATAATGTAACATTTCCATAATTACTAGAGAAAAATCTATTACAGACTGTAATAAAGAAGCAGCTCAAAGGTAAATCCAAGTCACCTGCATCAAACTGTTGATGATAGTATGCTTATATTTATGTTGCTTTGGGGAAAGTTATATATAATTTGTACTTGTTTAATAACTCCTACAAAGAGCAAGCATGATTTCTAGTAATATTTAGTTTAACTTGGTTCTTTTTTAAAGGGTTTTCAAATAGGTTATTTATCATAAAGTGATAGTGGCAGATACAGCAGACTGGTCAGTTACCTTTTATGCAGGCCTGAGGGAATGGAATTTAAATTATATGGCTACACTGTTTAATAGATCAATAATTAAAGTAGATTCTGGGAACACCATTAGGTAATAGCATAGAAAATCAAACAAAATTATAGTGGACAGATTATTTCCTGAACAGCATCACAAAAACCAGAATCCTTTATATTTTACAAGGTTTGGTTTCTCTTCTGAGTGTGCAGGATTATTTTTCCTGTGGCCCTTATTCTGAAGATGATTGCAGGGGAGGCTCCATAGGAGTGGGTCTCCGGAGCTCAGATGGTTATAGATTTAGATGTATCCTTGTTCTGGGAATCCCACATGAGTCAAAGTCTAGAGAGTGACCTGACCTTGCCTATAGTTTAGAAGTGATGACAGGTGTAAATGTTTGTTTACAAAATGTTTTTTGCAAGTCTGGTGATGAGGTGTAAGTTAGGACATTCCATTGCTCCCTTCCTTTGCTGAAAACAGATAATACTACAGATAGTCACTTGGGATTATTTGCAGTCTAGGGGATGAACAGAAGGCAGACATGGCAAGGAGAGTATATCTCGCTCTCTGCTACTTTGTGGTACATGATAGCCCATGTTTTTCTTGCAGATGGTATGAGCACTGCTACGAAGGGAATGCTCAGGGAGGTTAAGTAATCACAGGTTAAATAATAGTGCCTGCAAGGAGTTTCTAACTGAGGTGATCTCTGAGGTCTAGGGACTTACTAGGATTAGATGTCTTTCTCTTAGCACCCTGTGTGGGGGCTATATCAATCTAAAATAACTCATGAAACCTGTAAAATAGTTACATCCCTTCATTGCCTATTCTTATATTACCTGTAATCCCCTCTCCCCTTCATTGCTGTTTGGTATAATTAAAATGTAAGTTTGTGTGTAAACTTCCCTGTGTAAAATAAAAACCTGTACAAATTTAGAAACACTGCATTGGGAAAAGCACAGCTTTTCTTTTGTGTTTACTGTGCTGATATTACCCTGAATGCTAAAAGAGTTTTAATTTTTAGCCAGTCCATTTTGCATGTAATCATAACTACAGATATGACCATGTAAGTTTCTCTGTCACTTTCTGGACAGAGAAACCCATGGCTCAGTAGTTCACAGACATCAAAGAAAGGACTCTAGATAGAGAACTTTAGAGCAAATGGAGGCCTATATAGATGGGGTAGGGAAGGGACTTTGGCAATAAGACTTACTTCCCCCCCAAAAGATGGAAGTATCACAGAAACCACTGAAAAGTATGTTTGGCCGGTTTACACCTGCCAGGATGGTTTAAAATATATCTCTTACTGCATTTTGTCCTGAATCATCAGTACGAACTTGTGTCTACTCTAGGAGAGAGCAAGGAAGAGAGAACATTTCGGAACTGGATGAATTCCTTGGGGGTCAACCCATACATTAATCATTTGTACAGGTAAATATTGTGTTTTAGTTTTATGGCCAGAGTCCAACTTTTCTAGTTTCACACCTTAGGTACGTTTACATTAGTACATTTTCTAAAAATCACAGGAATTTTAGCCAACATTTAGAATTTCAGAATCCTAGAGAATGACAATACAATGTATTTTTTATAAAAAGTATGGTATTACTTAAAAAGATCAGAATATGATGGTAGTTATAGTTTTTGATGATGTAAACAACCAATTTGGTAAAGATAATCCATCTTATTCCTTTATAATTATTGATCAGAAAAGTAAAAAATTAGCAGAATAGAGTAGTAATATTTTATAAATTGTTCTTATCATTATAATCAGTATTTTAAATTATAATTCACACTTTCTATTTGTGCCAAAATCTACCTCACTTCTCCTGTAATTTGTTGCAGATATTTGCTTCTAATTTGCAGAAATAACTTGCTTTCCCTGAGTAATTGTGATTTATCTTACTCTTTCTTGTTTAAAATGACAACACATTATCAACATTGGTAGGACTAAGAAAATATTTTACTGAACATTTTCTGTGCTGTCTGGTAGTGCTAACAATGTGTCTTTCTAGGTTTGTATAAGAAGAGACCTTCCTTCTCTCTTTATTATAGGAGCTACCAGCCTGCCTTTAAAAATGGAAAAGAACTCAACTTTTGCAAAATTATATATTAATAATTTATACACCAAGGAAACTCCTTAATGAACAATTACTAAATTATTATTTAAATATTGAACTTAAGTCTAATGCCACAAAAGACCAATTCACTGGCTAATTGAAGATTTATGATATAGTAATTTCTGCTTCTTGGTGTATATTCAAAGTCTTGTTAAAAATCTAAAACTAGAGCACTGGGTTGGCTTAGTGGTTAAGCATCTGCCTTTGGCTCAGGTCATGATCTCAAGGTCATGGGATCGAGCACTGCTTGGGGCTCCCTGTTCAGTGGGGAGCCTGCTTCGCCATCTCCATTTCCCTCTGACTTGTGCTCATTCTCTCTTACATAAATAAAATATATTTAAAAAATAAAAAATTTAAAAAAATCTAAAACCAGGGCTCCTGGGTGGCTCAGTTGGTTAAACGACTGCCTTGGGCTCAGGTCATGATCCGGAGTCCCAGGATCAAGTCCTGAACTGGGCTCCCAGCTCCATGGGGAGTCTGCTTCTCCCTCTGACCTTCTCCCCTCCCATGCTCTCTCTCTCTCTCTCTCTCTCAAATAAATAAAATATTTCAAAAAAAATCTAAAACCAGTATTACCTTATGGTAACTGGCTTTGATGTGATGGACTAATATTTGATGAATCCTTTAAAAGTGTGTAAATTCCAGCTAGACGGCAGAGATAAATATCATTTAGACTAGAATTCTTATTATAGTAGGAAGGCAGTAAAAGAAATCAGATACTGGGGGTACAGATAGATGATGAGGAGAGGGATAAGATCTTTATAGAATAATGTGAAAGAATGTCTACAATACATATTTGAGAGAAAAGAATAATATGTCAGGGACATCTGGGTAGTACAGTTAGTGAAGCGCCTGGCTCTTGCTTTCAGCTCAGGTTGTGAACTCAGGGGTTGTGATTTTGAGGTTGTGAGATCGAGCTCTGTGTGGGGCTCCACACTGAGCGGGGAGTCTGCTTAAGATTCTCTCTCCCTCTGTCACCCCCATCCCTGCACCCCCCTCTCTAAAATAAAGAAATCTTTTTTAAAAAGAAGAAGAATAGGTCTAGTATGATTCCATTTTTATTTTAAAATTGAGTGTATACAAAGCATTGCTAATATTATTTGTTTATTTGTTTTGGAAAAACTGGTCATTACACTCAGTGTTATGTTATTATATATTCTGGTCTCTATTTTATTTCTGATCTTTCTTTATTATTTCTTTCCTCTACTAAATTTTGGAAGAGTTTCTTCTTTTTCTAGTTCCTTGTAGTGTAATGGTAAGTTGTTTATTTGAACTTTTCTTAAAATAAGCATTTATAGCATAAAAAAATGGTGGGATTAAACTTCTTTCTTATCTTGCAGAAAAAAATGAGTGTACACACATTTGTATATGAAGTTTTTAAGAACCTGGAGGGATGAATACCAAACTGTATGCACCCTGGTTAGTAAAGGATGGAGAGTAGTGAGAAGACTTATTTTTAATCTTAGTGACTTAAATATACTTGCTTTTTTTTTTTTTTACACAAGCACGTAATTTTCAAAGTAAATTTCTTTTCTTTTTTTTTTTTTTTTAAGATTTTAGTTTTTTTTTTTTTATTTGACAGAGAGAGATCACAAGTAGGCAGAGAGGCAGGCAGAGAGAGAGAGAGGAGGAAGCAGGCTCCATGCCAAGCAGAGAGCCTGATGCGGGGCTCAATCCCAGGACCCTGAGATCATGACCTGAGCTGAAGGCAGAGGCTTAACCCACTGAGCCACCTAGGTGCCCCGTAAATTTCTTTTTAAATTACAAAGTAAATTTAATACTAGGGGACTAAGATTTGTTGAGTGAGACCCATGGTAACTTTCTCATAAATGTCATGATCTCTAGAGTTCTCCCTGGTTGACAGTGGAGGAGAGAATTGACAACATTTTTTAGTCAAAGTCCTGAAGTGCTAGCATAGGACTTCTAGGCACATGTAATTCTATTTTGGAAAAGAGAATTCAGAAAATTCTCAAAAGTTAACATAACCCTCAAGAGATCTGTCATATATAGAAAAATAGTAGCCAGAGGTCTAGTTGGCACCAGAACCATGTGTCCATGAATTTGTGTCTAGATCATATTCCTAAACCCTAAGTTATTTTAACTCCTCTCCTGCAGTACACCAAATCTAAAGCAAACCAAAGCATTAGCATAATTTAGATTGATTTTAAATGAAAATTCTCTCCCCGTACAAGTTATTTAATATATTTGAAGAACAGTTAGTCCTAGAATTTTTCTATGACTGGTTGGTTCAGGAATACATCTTGAATTCTCTGGAAATCATTTCAACTCTCTGGGCTTCAGTTTTCCTATTTGCAAAACATGAATAATACCTCACCAAATAGAAGTAAGAGTGAATTCACTTAAAGTAAAAAAGAAAAATTCAGAGCCGATACAAATCCTTTAGTAATTTTTTTTATATGAAACTCTCCATGTTTTTTTATACATAACCAAGTCAGCTCTTAATTGCCTTCATAATAGATGTTATCTTTCCATCACTCAGCACAGGGTCCAGTCCCCTTCATTGCCATAGGGTGTATGTCCAGAGTTGCAAAGTAACTTTCATATGAATCTTAGCAGAACAACTTGGTGAACAAGCTGTTGAGAGAGAAAAGCGACATAATACATCATAGAGCCAACAATTTTAAAAAAACCAATTGCTGTTGCTTTATGTCCTTAGCATACAGAATTGAAAACAGACTCAATGGATATACTTTGAGCATCTCAGAAGAATGTGTTTTTCTGAATCCAAAGTAGAACTATTCTTACTTCAGTAACGCCTACTTTCTCATAAATTCCTTCCTCTTAATCCTCATTATTTAACATGAACAGCCACCTACTTTGTAGCTATTATGATTTTGTATATTTTAAAAAGTTTTAAAAATCATAATACATAAGTAATACATGAACGTATTCTCACTGAACAAGTTTCAGGAAATATGTGAGTATGTAGAATGAATTAAAACATGATAATACTTCCCTTACATCTCCCATGATCCTTTTTTTCCTTCCCATAGGTATTGCTATTAACAGTCCATAGCACATAAAGGTATTTAAATACTCTCAATTTTGAAAATGAGTTTTATATATAGTAAACTGTACGCTGTGTTCTGCCACTTGCTTTTTAAAATGTAATATATCTTATAAAACTTTTCATGTTAGTGCGTAGAGATAAACTTTATTTCTTACTGTGGACCAGGAGTCCATGGTATGGATAGTTTATTCAGCAGCCCCCTACTTCCAGACATTTAATTTGCTTCCAAATTAATGAATAATGTGGCATTGAATGTCTTTGTACTTATTATTATTGTAAACATTAAAATTTTTGGAGAGATTCCAAGATTAGAATTCTGGGTCGACCACTGAATTCTGCTCCTGAGACCAACATTACACTGTATGTTACCTAGCTAGAATTTAAAATTAAAAATTGAGGAAAGAACCAAAAAAGTTCTGAGTCAAATGATACATTTTGTTTTTTTAAGATTTATTAATTTTAGAGAGCGAGAGAGCACGCACACGCGAGCGAGTAGGGGGAGGGGCAGAGGGAAAGAAGCAAAGCAGATTCCCTGCTGAGCATGGAGCCAGACATGGGGCTTGATCTCATGACCCATGAAATTATGACCTGAGCCTAAATCACAAGTTGGCCATTTAACTAACTGAGCCACCTAGGCACCCTTGTCTTGTCATTTTTTAAGTGTTAAATGACCCTGTTGTGTTTTTGAAGACCTAAGGCTACCTCCATTGTGCTTAATAAAATTTCCTCCTCCTTCATCATCTTTTCCTCTTGTTTTAGTGACCTTGCAGATGCTTTAGTGGTCTTTCAGCTTTATGAAATGATCCGCGTGCCTGTCGACTGGAGCCAGGTCAACAAACCTCCTTATCCTGCTCTTGGAGGGAACATGAAGAAGGTGAATGAAATAATCACCAAGGATATGTTGTTATTGTTCTAATATGAAACCAAGGATTTGGAGTTTCGTAAAGCTTAGTAACGTGTGGCTGTTCCCATGATTCTGATTTAAACCAAAATGTGTTAAGCTTAAGAGCCCTTTTAAAGATTTTATTTATTTATTTGACAGAGAGAAAATCACAAGTAGGCAGAGAGTGGGGAGGAAGCAGACTCCCTGCTGAGCAGAGAGCCTGATGTGAGGCTCAATGTGGGGCTCGATCCCAGGACCCTGAGATTATGACCTGAGCTGAAGGCAGCAGCTTAACCCACTGAGCCACCCACCTAGGTGCCCCTTAAGAGCCCTTTTATAAACATGCTTTAATAACTGTTTGGGGGGTGCCTGGGTGGCTCAGTCGGTTAAGCGCCTGCCTTCGGCTCCGGTCATGATCCCAGCGTCCTGGGATCGAGCCCCACATCAGGCTCTCTGCTCAGCAGGGAGCCTACCTTCCCCTCCCTCTCTCTGCCTCTCTGCTACTTGTGATCTCTGTCTCTCTCTGTCAAATAAATAAATAAAATATTATAAAAAAAATGTTTGGAAAGATGAAGACAGTTCGATATGTAACTGTTTTTGTCTTTAACAAGTTGCACTTAATTTTCTTGGGGGTGCATCTTAACTGCTTTCCTGTAATATAATCCCCAGAACTTGCCAAATCTTTACTGGTTATTTGTTAATATCTTTCAACAGACATTTACTGATTACCTACTATCTGTACGGTGCAATGCAGAATATAAACTAGTACAGAGCATGGAGTTGGTCCTCAGAAGCCTAAACAAATTAGATGTGTGTACAAACAACTGTAATATAGTGCAACATATATAGAAGCAAATATTATGAGTTCTAAGGAAGAAGAGGCCACAGTCTGCATTTATCATGAGAGGTTCATGCAGGAGGTGGAATAAGGGTTTCAGAAAGGAGGCTGGAGAGGAAGCTGAGGATCAGGAAAAGGGATAGTGATGGGGACATATAAAATGCATTTCTGGGAATTGGGGGGAATATGTTGGCTATAACAGAGGATTCCAATAGGAAGAAGTAAGTATGAACCCTAAAATTTCACTTGGAGCCAGATGTTGAGAACCCTGACTGTCAGATTAAAGAGCTTGCATTTTAAACTAGAAGTAATGGGAAGCCATGAAACATTTTTGAGCAGAGCAGTGACTTGATTACAGTTGGTGGGAAACTATCTGGCAGATGAATGATGGTGATTCGAAACTGGAAGCCTGTATCTCCTACTGTCTTTAATCCATTTTATCCATTCTCCTACCCTCCCCTCTGCAACCACCAGTTCTCTGTATTCAGGGGTCTGTTTCTGCCTCTTTTTTTGCTCATTTGTTTTGTTTTTTAGATTCCACATATATGTGAAATCATATGGTATTTGCCTTCTCTGGCTGACTTATTTCTCTTAGCCTAATACCCTCTCAGACCATCCATATTGTCACAAATGGCAAGATCTCATTCTTTTTTATGGCTGAGTAATACTCCATTGTGTGTGTGTGTGTGTGTGTGTGTGTGTGTGTGTGTGTGACACATCTTCTTTATCCATTCATCTATCAATGGACACTGGGTTGCTTCTGTATCTTGGCTATTGTAAATAATGTTGCAATAAACATAGGAGTGCAGGGATCTTTTTGAATTGGTGTTTCCATCTTCTTTGGGTAAATACCAGTACTGGAATTGCTGGATTGTATAGATTTTTATTTTTAATATTTTGAAGAACTTCCATACTGTTTTCCACAGTGGCTACACGAACTTACATTCCCACCAAGAGCGCACAGCATTCCTTTTTTCTCCACACCCTTACCAATACTTGTTCTTGTCTTTTCTATTTTTTGGAATAGTTTGGGAAGAAAAGGTACTAACTCTTCCTCCCTCCCTCCCTTCCTACATTCCCTCCTTTTTTCTTTAAATGTTTGGTAGAATTCACCTGTGAATTCATTTGGTCCTGGACTTTTGTTTGTTGGGATATTTAAAAAAAATTTAAATTTAAATGCAATTTAATTAACATATACTGTATTATTAGTTTCAGAGGTACAATTTAGTGATTCACTGGTTGCATACAACACCTAGTGTTCATTACTTCAAGTGTTGGGGGATTTTTGATCACTGATTCAATTTAATTACTACTTACTGGTGTGTTCAGATTTTTTCCCAATTCAGTTTTAGAAGATTGTATATTTCTAGGAATTTATCCATTTTTTCTAGGTTGTCTAATGTGTTGGCATATAATTTATGTAGTAATCTCTTATAATCCTTTGTCTTTCTGTGATGTACAGTCATTACTTCTCTTTCATTTCTGATTTTACTTGAGTCCTCTCTCAAGGACTCTTTTTATTTGCGTCCTCTCTCAAGGACTCTCAAGGACTGTTTCTTGATGAGTCTGGTTAAAGGTTTATCAATTTTGTTTCCTTTTCAAAGACCGACTCTTGATTTCTTTTAATCTTTTCTATTATTTTTTAAGCCTCTTATTTCACTTATTTCTGCTTTGATCTTTATTATTTTCCTTCCTTCCTTCTACTAACTATGGGCTATGTTCTTTTTCTAGTTCCTTTAGGAGTAAGCATATGCAAAATGTAACAGGGAAACAAAAATTAAACTACTCATTTTATCTGGAATCTTAATTATGAGATGTCACAGTGAATCATATGTAAAATGCTTCCTTTCAACAAATACCAGCTGTTTATAGAATGAAACGTAAGGCCTGTAATAAATTCAAGGTGTTTAAAAAATGAAGCAGTACTTTCATGACAAAGTATCATGGAGGATTATTTTATGGACTTTGGGCACTCATCAGCAGACATCACTTTGCTTCATTTGTAAAGTTCATAATGCTGCACCGCTTAAATAGTCTTTCTTCATTATTTCTTCAGTATTTCTTTTCACTTGGAAGCCTGTATCCTTTCATGTAATTTTTCTCATTTTCCAAATGATTTAAACTTCACTTTTCCCAAAGCATTTGAAGTACTTGATAATCATTTCTCCCATTAACTCTATGAAACTGCATTCTCCAATTTTTTCTTACTTCCTTTGTGTTTATTCTTACCTTTGTTCTTACCTAGTCCTCATTTTTTAGCCTGACAACTCTAGAATTTGCAAGGCTCAGTTCTTGGCCCACTGCTCTTAAATTTCTATATTTACATCCCCAGAGAGCAGATCTATTTTTAGAGTGTTAAGTAGTACCATAAACATGACTTATCTCTAGAACTGAGTTTCTTATTCTTTCTCTAGTTTGGTACCTCTCTAGATCTTAGAAGTTTTGCCAAATTTGGAATCAACTGTTGCCAAAAAAATAGAATACCTGGGAGGTGGGGGGATAGGGATAGGGTGCCTGGGTTATGGACATTGGGGAGGGTATGTGCTATGGTGAGTGCTGTGAAATGTGTAAGCCTGATGATTCACAGACCTGTACCCCTCATGCAAATAATACATTATATGTTAATAAAAAAATAGAACACCTCTTTTTCCTTATATGAGCATCAATTTCTAGGTACCCTTTTGTTGCTGGTCATTCCCACATCTTAGACCTCTAGTAACCCTGAGCACCCTTCTCACCATCATTCCTCTTAGGAATTTTGGTCTAACTAACTATAAAATAGACGGCCCTTCATGGAAATACATTTTGCATGAAAATGATTATTATTACATTTGATAGAAAAT